CCTTGGCAGAATGCCTCCCACAAACTAGGCACCCAAATATGCATCGAATAAACCAATGAATACATGAATGAATAAATGGAAAGTCTGACTCTTTTCCGAAGTAGGTCAAACCATTGTTTGATACTTTTCTGACTTAGAAATGCTAGCCCCCAAATGAAGTGAAATTTACTCTTCTACAACATTCATCCAATATTCTTATTTTTCTCATTTCCTCAAATTTAACTAAGACTTCTTTCTTTTAACACAAAAGGTCTTCACTTTTCTGAACATAACCAGCATATGCCCCCAAATCTTCTTGGTTTTCTCAAGCTATACATAAGATGCATTCCTAAGTCCAGATAAACCCTTCTTCTTAAATGTGGGTTTTCTATTTTGTCAACTCTCATCCCAAGCATCCAGAACTAAGCACACTACTTGAGGTATGAACTGACCAGCATCCAGCAGCGTAGTTATGACCTCTCTTGGAGGATGGATAGTGCATGTTTTCCACTGCAGAGTCTGGCACCACATGCAAGACACTCTTAGATATTTGTTGAATGAATGAATGAATGAATGCATGCATGCATGCATCTTAAGATACATTAGATTTATTTGAAAATTGTTTCTTAATCTAGGCTCATAGATCTGTGGACATGTTTTTCAGGTGGATTGACACAGTTTAGGTCAACTCTCCAAAATTCATACTTATATATATAAAAAAAAATGTCCATGAATGTTAAAGCAGAACTAGCAAACACTTTATAGAACATTCCCCTCAAAGCTCAAAGGAAATTAAACCGAAATGATCAAATGCTGATGATTTCCCCAGGGAAGTGTCCTTGTCCTTCTATAGAGAAATAGTCTTCAAACCTAGATTGCTAAAATAGCCCATCTTCCAGTATTCAAACGTGACAGTCAAAAGAAATCAAGAAAAAAAGCAGCGCTGGAAGCTGCCTCTTTCCCAGACCTGCACGTGTAAATGGAAGCAATTTACAAGAGATTATCTCTGGTCCTAACGGAAAAAAAGCCGCTCTAATATTTGAGTACTGATTGTTTTTTCTGCCTCTCCTCCTCATCTCCATCCTTGTTAGAGTTAAAACAGGAGCTCTGCTATTCTCTGAAATTTTGGCATCTGAGAAGGCGATTCTCTATCAAGTGATGGGACGAATCCTAGTTGGCCATCTCTAAGACCCCCTAACAGGAGCATAGACGATTACGGAGGAGGCTCCTCTGCCACTCACCGCCCACAGCAGAGGCTGCCTCTGCTCTGACCAGTAGGTTAAATTTTCTCTGCCTTGCGGATGCAGCTCTCAATCGACTTTCCAGCAGCACAGCGCAAAGTTGAGGGAGAGCGAGAATGTGCGTTCGTTCGTGTGTGCGTGTGTGAGCGTCTGATCAGTGGTGTTGGGGAGGGCAGTAAATAAAGGGTGGGGCCAGCGAAGGGAGGAGGAAAGCAAGGACTGAGAGAAGCCAGAGCGTGGCTCCGATGCCAGTTAACCTGCTGGAGCTCATCCTGCTCGCTAGAGCCCCTGCACCGACTCACCCAGGACCCTCTCTCCTTCCTCCTTCACCTTCTTTCCCCTTTTCCCCTCCTTTTCTCACTGCACGCTCCACCTACCTCTTCACTTTCGAGTCCGACCAGAGGACGAATGAGGAAGCCATTCCCTCAAATTGGGGCAGCAACTTTCCTCAGCAGGTCTCTTGGCTGCTGGAGCAGGTGCGCGCGGACCCTCCGCGGTCTGCGGCCCATGGAGGAGGAGAGAGAGGAGCAGTGATGGGCTAGCGGCTGAAGCCAGGAGCCCCCAGCGAGCCCAGCAAAGCCATCCGGCACCGCGTTCCCACGTCCGTTCTCTCATCTCTCTCCGAAGGGACCGCTCGGGGTGCAGTCGCCGAGCATCCCAGGAGGATGAGGCGGGACCCGGCCGGAGCGCGCAGCATCTCGCGGGCGTGCGGCAGTGGCTGGGTCATGGCATGAATTAAGAAGCTAGGAAGATGGAGCGCCGCACACTCCTCATCCAGCCCGGGCTCTGGTCCAGGGACACCAGCTGGGCACTCCTCTATTTCCTCTGCTACGTCCTCCCCCAGACCGCCCCGCAAGTACTCAGGATCGGTGAGTGAGCCCCGGGGAGCGCTCCAGGCTGCCGGCTCGGGTGACATGGTCGTTCCCCGTGGCCAGCGCGGGCGCGACGGGTCCCGGGCAAGGCAGCGCGCGCCGGCGCGGGGACAGGAGCTGGGGGTGGTGGAGGTCAGCGTGCACCGGAGGCTCCGGGAAAGGGGAAGCCGCGTCACTGCTTCCCTCCTGGCGAGTGCCGGGCTTCCCCGCTAGGTACGGTTGGCGGGTTTTTCAATCTGGGCACCAGGAACGCGGGCAAGAATACAGGGGTCCAGGCTCGCCCGGGCTGGTACCCTGCTTGGGCGAGGGGTCGCGAGCGGCTGCAGCCATTTGATTTGGATGCGGGGATGCGCTCTCCTGAGCGTCTGGGTGGGTATCAGGCGGTCCAGATGCGCAGCCCTAGTCCCTGGCAACCTGGGTTCCAGGTTCTCACACACATGCCCAAATCTCAAGAACAGAATTAGGGGACCACTAGAGACGTGGGAATTTCCCAGAGCTTGCTAGCCCAAGCCTCCAAGTTTTCATTCCTAAGTTGGGTTTTTCCACACGGACTTCCAAAGTCTGGAGGGTTCCACTATAAGGCAGAATCTGGATCTGACTTCTGATGGAGGGTTCAAGGACTGGGGAGGATGATCAGTCAGCTCTATGAGCCGGAACCTAAGTTTCCCATTTGCTCCCCAATCTGCCAGCCTGCCTGCCACTGAGCGTGATCTAGTCCACAGTCAATGGAACTCCCTGGGAGACTCTGGACTTCTATCTCAGGGAGGGTAAAAAGAGCCTGGAAAGCTGAATGCAGGAATCCCGGGTCAGCCTAGGCAAGGCTAAGCAAGGACAATGTGCGTGCGCCTGTGTGTGCGTGTGCGTGTGTGTGTGTGTGTGGTGGGGGTGTGGTGTGTGTTTGGGGTGTGTGTGGGGGAGGGTGTGGTTCTAGTATGTGGATTCGGTGGTCCTAAATGCACAGCACAAACCACCAACGTTTGGTCTGCGGAGGCACTGAGCGATTTCTGGGCTGCTTTTATGGGTTGAAAAAGCTCTTCGCCTTCTTTAATGTTCTCCCTTTCAAACTAAACCCAATTTCTATCACCTTGGTCTCAGTTTGTCCTTCTTCTCCAGCCAACTGTGCTTCTTAGAGAACTGCAGAGAGCCACAGGTGTTGTGGTGACACCACACGGGTCTCTCAGCTTCTCCAGTCTCCCACTTTGGGCAGCAAGCCTGAAGTCCTGAGCTCTGGGGACTTCTAACTCACACCCTTTCCAGGAACTGACGGAATGGTGCAAGGAAACGTGCTGGGTACTCCCATAGAAATGCCCCTGAGAGGCAGAAATCTCTCAATATCTGTCCTAGGTTTGACCTGCAATTAGCGATCGTCTTTGCAAAGATTCAGAACCTCGTTCTTGCCACTGAACATGCTCACTTTTCTAAAAATGTGGAAGTTTATTACTTTGAAAATCATTTTATCTAGGCATATGGGATCTAATTTTCAAGGAAAGAAAAGACTCTGAGTACTAATTTTACTATAGACATTTTTCTACACTATAGGTGATGATAATGTGTATTTTATTGGATAATTTAGACTGTTTATTAAGAGTCCCAAAGTATTCTTTTTACAAAAAAAGGTCCCACTCATTACTAAAATATCCTTCACCATAAATATGTTCTAGCCTTAATGGCCCATTTTTTAAATGCAATCAACCCTAGAGACTGCAGTAACAAAATTCTTGTAACAATACAGAAAAAATGATGAGTGCTTATTAACTTAATTGGTGTTTTGCTTACATCCTAAACATTTTTAAAGAGACAAATCTAGACATACTAGATGCAGGTATGCCAGCCAGCAGCCCCCCTCCCTGTACAACAAATTTAAAGCACCATTTTCCTCCCCTACACCCCCTAAATCTAAAGGAATCCAGGAGGTGGTGAAAAAGGATGTTTTAAGATGTATGTTCACTGATCTGATAATTTATCCAAACTCTAAGCAATCACTTTCATTTATTCAAAAGTAGTTTTCAAAGTGAAAAAGACCCTTTTTCTAAGTGGAAGCTAAAAGTAAAATTGCATGGCCCAATGTCATCTACATGCAGTACAAATGTCTTACTCTTTCTAGTTCTGAGTGACCTGTGGTTGGCATGGTGACTTTCATTCTGTATGTACCTACAGACCATCCTTACTTTTAAATGAACATTTCAGCACCATGGAAAACAGCTTTAGCTCCACAGAAACCTGCCTCTCTATAGTGAGTTTCTTATATCAATTAAATTCAACACTGAACACAAAATATCAAAGGAGTTGGGGAGTGTGTGTGTGTGTGTGTGTGTGTGTGTGTGTGTGTGTGTGTGATAGAGAGAGAGAGAAGAGAAGAAAATTAAAATGCATTCTTTATCTCTCATTTACTTATCTTCCAAAAAAGCCACCAACTATCCAACTAGTTAACCAACCCCCCCCCAAAAAGAGGCTCTTGATTATTAACTTTAACATGTTTTAGTAACTTAAAATATCCTGAATGCCAGGCACTTTGCGATATACTTATACAGAGAAGGCACTTGAATGCTTGAATGGATTAATTACTTGTCTACTTTTCTTGCCAGAGTGTCTGCTTAAATTTTGTTAATCGAGGAAAGTGAATGAAAGGTATAAAATTTAAAATAAATGTCCTGCATACTAAATATTAGAAAGGCCATTGAGTATGTGCATATGCATGGTTGTTGCACATGCTGTGAATATTTGTTGAAAAGTTTATAATCTTACAGTTTAGAGATATAGAAATGGAAGCACACTAAACATTACTGCTACATTCCAAAGGCTTCCCAGCAGCCTGCATAGAAGAGAAATATGGCCTGCTCCTGGGAGTTTTCTTCAGGATATGGAGGTCATCTCTGATTTCTTTCAAATAACTGCACGTGTGCATGCGCACGCGTGTGCGTGTACTCACACACACACACACACACACATGCACACGCACCCTTGAATTTTACAGTGAAAGACCTTCTCACATGGTGAGCCAAATGATACCTAATATCTAATTCTTAGAGAGGATCAGAGTGATCTGAGGAAATTGTGGCCCACTACCATTAGTTGAAAAATTCCATGTGCATATACAGTTTCTGGGGCAGATATATTATATTTCTAATTTACACAGTATGTTGTTATACATCATGTCAGCATACACAATCATAGAAGTGCTGGTAAAAGCATAATCTTAAGAGTTAAGTAGTGGGTAGCCAGGCTCTCAAACACATAATTTGTTGTCATAAAACACAGGTCTGTGTTCCATCTCCATGACTTACTAGATTGGTTTCTCAGTGACAGTTATTCAATCTCACCAGGACTTTGTTTTGCATGTAAAAAAAATTGAATTAAAACAATTGCAACCTAAAATGTCATTGGTAAGAATACATGAAATAGAATTTGAAACTGCTTTAAGAAGTATGTGAATACATTAGCTGCATTACACAGTTGCTCCTTGAACACAGGTTTTAAACTGTATGGGTCCACTTACATGTAGATTTTTTTCGATAAATATCTGTATTGTTTTTGATCTGCAGTGGGCATACTATATAGGCAGAGCGCTAACTGTATGCATTGACCTACACCATTTTGTATAGGGGACTAAAGCATACATGGATTTTGGTATCTCTGGAGGTTCTGAGAAAGAATTCCTCCCCGGTACTGAGGGACAACTAAGTTTTGGGGGAGTCAAGAGTAATATGTGGATTTTCGAGTGTACTTTGGTCATCACCAGTAAATCCATGTTATTCAAGGGCCACTATAATTGTTTTCTATTGTTTTGTTTTTACTTTTTAGAACTATTGACATCCTTTTTGTGAACAGGGACTTTATAGTTGCTGTGGTATATTTTCATGAGACATTTAATATTTCTGAGCCCAAATCTCTTCACCTGTAAAATAGTAGTAATGATTTCTGCCTTCCTAGTTAACAGTGGAGGATCAAACAAACTACTTTTTGTAATTGTAAAAAAAAAAAAACAATAAAGACATATAATATAATACTATTATATAAATAAATATAGCATATAAAGATAAATATTGTGGAAATTCATATAAATACATGTGCGAAAGTTAAATGACAATGTAATTGTCCAAATGCTTTTATTTCCTTAAAAGAGGTTCAAATGTATTTTATTTCAATTATCAAGCTGGCTATAATATCATTTTTGAATCTTCAATCCTAAGGACCCCCAAAGTTCCAAGTAATGTTTACTCCGTATTTATTTATATTTTTGCTTGAATGTACCAAAACTCACAACTTTAATCATGAAATTTTATCACAATTCTAATATTTGTTCTTCACTTTACAAATATTTATTAAGTGCTTACTCCCAGACCATGAGCCAAAGACACTTCTAGATGCAGGACATACAACAGTGTCCAAAATGAACAAACATGTCTGCCCCCTTGAAGCTTATATTCTGGTGGTTTATAATATGTGTTACTACTCAAATTTTATACCAGGCCTTTAATGTAGACAATTTTTTTTTATTTTAAATATCATTCTTGGAGAGTTTTCAGTTAATCTTCTGCTACTGATTTATCATATCAATGTCATAGTCAAAAAAGAATGGGTTCAAGTCTCTAAATGCATAGAAGATAGACATTGGGTTCATGCTGCCAAACCTGGAGCTGACTTCTGCCTTAGTTTAGAAATATCTGTCTAACCTGAGGTAATTCATCCTGAGAGGTCACATTGGTGCTCACTTCAACTGACCCGTGAAAAATCTAGGAGAGAAGCTCTGATGGCAAGATGAAAAGGGAGTGCCTGGCTAATGTTCACATATTTCTCCAAATGGGTAGATTTTCTTGCCTTACTGTTTTATCTGTGTGATTCACCTTTTTCTTTAACAGTCATTTTACAGGCCTAATGTTTACACTACGTAGACCTAAGCTGTAGCTACTTTTCCTATGATTTATAATCTGTAGTTTTCATTAAGAAGACCATGACTTGATGGCTTTGCCTAAGGTCAAGTGCTTAATAGAAATGCT